AGGGTGGGCAGCCCCTCAAAGGTCCCGTGGGGCCTTCTCAGGCCTCTCTGTGGATGGAGGGACTGAGGTTCAGATAGAGCAAGGGAGGTGCTGGAGGCCACCTGGTGGGCCAGGTGTGCCTGGGCCCTGCCTTCCTGTCACCTCTCTCTGCCCACCTGTGCCAGCGACTTCTTGCTCTGGGCTTTAGAGTCCAGCCACACTCTGAGGTCTCCTGGGGTTGGCTTCACTTGCCAGTGCCCAGGGCTCCCCCTTCAGAGCATTCCATTCAGCCTTTCAGCCAAGCCTGAGCACCTGCCACGCCCCCGGGCTGCACGCTGGACAATCACTGTCCTGGTTTCAGAGTGTCATGTGGCCAAAGCCACACGGCAGTGTGTGGTGACACCTGGACCCTACCCCAGAGTCTCTCGGAGCCTGCATTGTGAGTGCTTGGTGCAAGCAAAGGAGGTTCAGGGTGTCTTTGAGCTGTGCGCCTGCACTTCCTCAGCCATGCACAGAAACCAGGGCTGGAGGCCTCGGGTGGGGGACCGAGGCAGGACCGCTCTACCCAGTCACAGCTGTGTGAGCAGCCTGGGCACTGCAGGGCTGCCCTGGGGAGACGTGACAGGCAGCAGGGAGGTGGGGGGAGCCAGCGCGTGAGCACACAGTGTGTGCAAGCTGTGGGGCAGCAGCTGGGCTGCAGGACTGCAGGGAGGGTCACCCCGCTCAAGCTGGCCTCTGTCCACCTCCCTTCCCTGCCTCTCCCCAGGCCCTACATGGATGCAGTCATCTCTCTGGTCACCCTCATGTTAGACACAGGCCTGCCCTGCTTCTGAAGCCAGAAAATCAAGCTCTTGAAGTAGGTCCTGGGCAGACACACAGGCTGTTTGAGGGGCAGTTGTCCCCGAGATGGCAGCCTCTTGATGCTGGTGACTGATCGGTATCAAGGCTGAGTGCGCTCCTTGGAACCCAGAGCAGATGGGGTTCCTGCGGCAACGCTGTCACCAGACCATGTTTGTAAGATGCCCCGTCTTCTGCTGGCCACGGCCAAGGACATCACCAGGAGCCCCTTCATTTCTCAAGGATACAGTGCCAGCAGCCCTGCCTCTGGGCCCTGAGCCCCGGGGGCCACAGTGGCTTAGCCTCTAGGCTAGTCCTGCCCCATCCGTGAAGCCACTCCACCCAGGAGGTGCTGGGGAAGGGGACAGAGCCCTCCAGGCCGGCTGGGAACACTGTCCCAATAGGCCAAGCCTGGCCCTCACAACAATGTCCCCAGGAAAGAACACTCCTAGGGCCTGACCCTCAGTGGAACAGATTCCCACAAACGCTCAGTGCGGTCTACAGGCAGGACTACATCCCGAGGGGAGAGCAGCCTGACGCGGCGCTCTCCCCCAGGCACAGGTTCAGCCCCAACATGACTGAGCGAGAGGCTGCAAACTTCATCATGAAGGTCATTCAGAACTGCTTCCTCAGCAACAGGCGAGTCACCCCCTCCTGCCCTCCCCTCCTGCATCACCGCCACGCCCCACTGTTCTCCGGGCACCTGCGCAGGGCCACGGCTGGGCCAGGTGAC